TTAAACGGCTTTCCTTATTTTTTATTTGGTTAAAACTAATATTTATTTGGTTTTGGTTTTTAGTGTCAATTCCTGACAAATACTCTTTGTCAATTGCCCCAAAAATATAATCACCAACTTTACCAGTAAAACACAAATGTTTATTTACATGCACTAATGGGCAATAAACAAAACCGTCTTCATCTATAAATTCCATAAGCAATAAATAGCCACCAATAGCACTARAAGTTATAATATTATATTGCAAATTTGTTTCATTTCCAATTTCAGTCTTGTATTTGACCGGCAAAACTGCAAAGCTTTTGCTTATTTTTTCGTTTATAATGCCTAAATTGTAACATATTTTGTGCAACATGGGCACAGTGCCGTCATCGTTTGTAATTTTTGYAAATTTGATGGAAATCTTGACGTTGCCGCTTTTCATGTTTATGTTTATATTTTTAGCTTTCAAGATCGAATAGGGACTTACTAGCTGAACTTTGGTCTGATCTTTCTTTTGCACAAGTAATTGCTTATGGTATTGTTTATATCTGTGGGGTTTAAAGTAATCTAATGAGCCATAATGTATTAGCTCATTTTTTTCAATTACATAGTTAACTTTAAATGCCTCAAAATAATAAGCAACTTGTGTGATGTTTTTTGCATAAAAGCCAGAACTGACATTACTGCATACTAAATAAATATCTTGAAGCAAGTCGCCATTGACAATGTCAACTTCCACTATTCCAAAGGCTTCTTGTTCAAACCCAACTTCATATTCATCGAMTGTCAGTAATTTGACCTTGTGCAAGTCTGTAACTGTTACTATTTWCCCTTTTTCGGTCATTTTGATGTTTGATATTATGAATGACAAAAAAATATTATTTTATCTGAAAATGCATTAATCCACAAAGTAGTGCTCTAATTTTAGTGGTAATTTGCCCTGTAAATGCGATCAGATATCGATCGTTGTTATTGTGTCAATATTTGACAACTTTCTTAATTCTGGAAGCATTTCTCGTGTTTTTGGGGTAAGTTCATCTGAATAGTCAATGAACCCTGTGCCGCCACACTGTTAATTACTTCAAGCAATTTATAAAGTCCTGGCATTTTTTTCTTCTTCTTGGGTAAGTTTACCTTTGTGCGTTTTGCTAATCATTTTAAAGCAACCAACGTCATAAATCAACGAAACAAAGTAAAGGTATTTTCTCCACAGTTTTCCAACTTTATAATCACAGATCTTTTGCATGAATGATGGCAAGGTTTTTAAACTAGAWTGTAATTCTGAGCTTTGCGTAACGGCATTTAAAACATTTATGACGTTTGGAGAGAGAAACTTGTTMAAGAAGTTCACAAATTCATACGAACTTACAAGTTCTTTAAACTTTTGCTCGTTTTTAAAGTATTCAAGCAAATTTTGTCTACTGATTTCCAACGAAAACAATATTTTACAATGAGGTACCAATATGGTGACTATGGTGCCAATGCAAGCCAACAAGTCGTATTTTTTAATAAATGGCAAACAGTTTATGGATTCAATGGTGTTATAACTGACCATAGCAGTAAACACTCCTTCCAAGTCA